ACATGGGTAGATGTTTAAGAGTTTCGAAATTCGAGGATGATTCTCTCGCGGAGGCGTACCGCAAAATTCTGTTCGCAACCACCGACCGAGAGAGTTGCGTTCATCGATTGGCCATCGAAAGCGGGAATGGGTTTGCTTGCTGACTGGGTGCACACACAACGGTGGACCAGCAAAAGAGTAAAATCGAGCGAGACCAGTTCGGTGGCGTTTCGAACCGACGGCAACAACAACCAACCAAACTATTTGGGTCCAATAGGGGTGGGTGGGTGAATAGCTTTTGGAAGAAGTTTCAAGTTCTCTCGTATCCGATCGGACGTTTCTAAAAACGTTTCTCAATTTTTAATGAAGAAGAAAAAGTAGAAGAATAAGAATATATAAAAGCGTGCGAAAATACTATACACATGTGTGTGTGTGTGTGTGTATGTGTGTATTGCAACATATTGAATCTTTGGTAAAGCTTTTCTCAATGTTAAGAGTATAAATTTCACAGCGGGTTGGCCGGTTGTCGATTTATCGTTGCTCGACCGACCGGAATAGATGATGAAGAAAAAAAAATAGAAAAGAAATAGAAAAAAGATAGATAGAGATAGGTTTGTAGCAAAGAATAAAATAGAAAAAAGGTGGTGTTTAAGTATAGGCAACGATTGAGTGAGTGAGTGAGTGAATGAGAGAGAGAGAGAGAGAGAAAGTAACGTAAATTTGTTGTTCCTGGGTTCATAGTTAGAGACACGAGAGAAGAGTAGTTTGCTCGATGACTATAATGGGGACCCCCCGCGGTAGCTTACCTGCATCATCGACTAATCACATCGGATAATAGGGAACACAATGGCTGCCTCGTGAAAAGTGAAGCATACCCACCACTTACCTTCTTCCTACCCCTCGTCCGAACCCTCGATGGTCCACTACGTGAAATCTCACTCTCACTCACTCAATTCACTACTGGACAGTATATGTGTATGTATGTGTGGGTATGAAATAGAGAGAGAGAGAGAGAGAGAGACGATATAATCCTCTTACACACCGAGTACAAAGTAAAATGCAGACGGGCGCACAGCTAACGGTGGCGTATTCCTGGCCCTTCGTGTTTCCTTTACCTTGGATATATTACGTGCGTCGGCACGAGAAAAAGAAACAAACGTTACGAAATAGAATAAAGGAAGGAAGGAAGGAAGGAAGATCAACAAAAAAGTTATGAAAGGAACAAATTAAAAAGATAGAATGTGATAGTCTATGAGTGTGATCAAAAATTCGTCCCTTGCATGAGAACAAGAAGCAAATGATTGCAAATTTTATCGATAGGTGGTCTTTTAAACTCAGCAATGACTTAATTGCAAATTCAATAGATGAATTGAAGTTCCAAACAATAAAATATATTAAATATAATTTTAGTATATAAAATACTCAATATTAATTTACTAAACAGAGTAAAGGAAGTTCAATTGCTAAAAATTAGCCCTTCCAGTTTTCCTTATTGTTTGATAAAATTCATCTTCTTATCTCTTTTTCAATCTTTATTTTTGTGGTTGTCTTACAAACCCTCGTGGATCTTTTAAACGTGCACCAATTTAAGCCGAATTCTCCGATCACGAAACTCGGACTAGGATCGAAAACTTAGCCTCAGTTTCTTTCTCTATCTCTCTTTGGTTGGTTCCGAAGCACCGGGTGCCTCGAGGAAGAGGAAAGACTACTAGTGAAGTAGAGATGGTAGTGGTGCTAGTCTTTGTCGAATCTCACCGAGTGAAACACGAGCTCCTCGTACTCGAAAGGCCGCACTCTCTCAATATAACCTCGTTATACTTGCTCGAAGTAGGTTTACGGCTCTCGAGGGTCGCCTCCGATGGTTTCTCGTTACCACACTCTTCTTCTCTTTCTCTCTTTCTGTTGGTTGTTGTACGAGTAACGTCTAAAGATAAAGAACAAAGATAAAGAAAGTTAGACAGATAGATTACCGTGATAGAAAAAGAAAAAAGGCCACTCTTTTCCTTTGCCCGTTACGTATAATCAAATCTTCTTCTTCTTCTTCTTCTTCTTCTTATTCTTATTCTTTCTTCGAAACAAACTCTTTTCGCGTTTTTGACCCTTTTACACACATACTTTTTTTATCCCTTCAACACTTCGAAGAAATATTTTATCTCAAAGATGGAAAAAAACGAAATAAAATGAATTATTTTTTAGGTTGTATATGTTACATGTGCAAAAGTTCATATATCAATGAAGAATCTTTGAAGTTTTTATAATAATATATATTAATTATTTAAATATTAATGAAACTTCTTTTTATTCGCGTTTATTTTGTATTTTTTTTTTCGCTAATTTATTTAGAGGTTATCTAGGTATTTAGGTATTGTAAGTTTTCGATAGATGGTGCTGTATTACAATTTAATTATATTATTATTTAAAAAGTCACAGCAGCACGTGTGACTGGACCATCCTAGTATATAAATATATTGACACAGGGTCGGAAAATATATTTTCTCGAGAACGATTTCTGAGACGAGATACCACAAGAAAGTGAGAAAAAAAAAAGTTACAATGAGAAATAAAGATAAGAGAAAAGAGAAGAGAAGAGAAGAGAAGTAAAAAGCAACCAACTGAGGCGTGGTCGTGTGAGCCCAACCGCTGAGAATCCTATTGCATAACTCTCTTCCTCTCTCTCTCTCTCTCTCTCTCTCTCTCTCTCTCTCTCTCTTTAATATACGTTCTATTAAACAAACGAAACAAGGATGAGAGAAAGAGAAGAGTAGTATCATCGACTCTCGATAAAGGATCCGAACGTTCTCGCGAAGCTAATAGAGCGACGCGCGGATTGCTGCTGTTGGGTGGTGGTGGTGGTGGTGGTGACTTAAAGGGGGTGGAAGGAAAGAGGGAAAGTGAGATGAGGAGAGAGGGATAGGAGAGAATATCTAAAGAGTGGGAGAGAAGAGGAGAGAAGCAATAGATTAGGTGGGTAACATCGCCTGATCGTGGACGAGAACGACGGGTATAGACTCGCGGCAGGCAACTAGCGATGTATCGCAGGAATAACCCGGGAGAGGGAGAGGGAGAGAGAGGGATGAAAACGTAGAGTAGTAGTAGTAGTAGTAGTAATAGTAGTATGGTGTAAAGAGACCATGGAGAAAGTGAGATAGAAAGCGTGGAATAAGGTAGACTTGGTAGTGGGGTAGGAGAAAACGAGCGAGTGAGTAAAAGAGAGAAAGAGAGAGAGGATAGAAATAGGAGAGGGAGAAGGGAGTTCAGGCTATAAAGGCTAATTGGTTAAAAGCTCACCGCTGGCTGCAGGCTTAAATCAAGATCTTGGAGTGTTATAATGGATAAGTAACACGGCGTGGCAGGGGCACCACCACCCCACCAGTAGCAACAGTAGAAGCAGAAGCGGGTTGTGGTGTTTCCCTCTTTCGAGGCTCGTTCATCCCCCTTCCTACTACTACTCTACGTTAACTCCATTTTCCCCCTCTAATATCTGTCTCTTTCTCTCGTTGGTATAACTGGTAGTAGGTAGAAAGGCCCTGGCAGCAACGTTCGTTCGTCCCATTCTCTCTCTTTCTCTCTCTCTCTCTCTCTCTCTCTTTCTCTCGTTTCTCTAACCCCTCGTACTCGATCACAGAGTTGGTGTAGATAGAAACGCAGCAGGCAGGCAGGCAGGCTGGTACGAGAAGGGGTAGGAGGAGGGTAGGAGTAGTATCTTCGGATTTAAGGACGCGAGCGAGTCAGCGATTGGCTCGTAACACGAACTACCCCTCCGGCAGGGTGGTGGGACATGCTAGGCATCGATCGCGTCTCCGCCCTATGAGGAATCGCTGGAGCCAGCCGCATTCGTGCGAATATACTCCCGGTGCTCCGCCCCTCTTGACGCCACAACCCTTCGACCTAGCCGACAAGCTCGACTATCGTGTGGCTTATACCCCCACCCCTATTTCTCCACCCTTCGTCTCTCTCTCTCTCTCTCTCTATCTCTCTCTCACTCTCACACTCGATTTACGCAACCACCACCACTACCAGCAATAACAGCAGCAACATCAGCACACCATCATCATCCTTGTAGTCGTAGAATCGTAGTCCTCGTTGCTACCGCTACCACCACCCCTATACGTCGTCAGAGTACCACCCCTTCTCGTTACACCAACACCACTTCCAATAATATCTCCGTCAACGGTAAGAACCTCCGAGCGTGACTCCGCGATACTTCTCTCTTTCTCTCTTTTTCTATCTATCTATCCATCACACATACACGTACACACATACACAGATTATTTCCACCCCTCTGCGCGAGCTCACGAATCGTTCGCACTCCCGAGCCAGTCTCTCGCGTGCGCGGCTGGACGTTCGCTCGTGTGCGAAAGTCAGAGAAAGCCTACATTGATGCGATTTTCCTGCGGTTTTTTTTTACCTTCAACAATTTTCCTACCACCCTCTCTTTTTTTTGTTATTTTTTTGTTTAAACCTAAACGTTAGAATAACCAAAACTCGAGCTATCAAAACACACGATCTAATTGTCCTAGCTTAGTGTTCTTACAGTTTAAATTAACTTAAATCCACTTGCATTTTGAATTATCCAGTAGAACAAATAAACGAATAGTCAGGCGGGTAGACAAAACGTCTTTCTCTAAAGACGATCGAGTCGATTAACGATTGAAGAAAAATCACTGAGAAAGTGTAAGGGAGATAATGTTGTCGCGGTTTTACGCGCGCACTTATGCTCTCGCCTCTCACGAATAGGTGAACGATACAAGAGAGAGAAAGAGAGAAAGAAAGAGAGAAAATTTGGAAGGTGGAGAAAGAGGAGAAGCTGGAGGAGGAGGAGGAAAAGGAGAATATGTGGTGGGGGTAGTTTTGCAACGGGTTGATAGTGGTACATACAAAAGTGTGATAGAGTAAGAGGAATAAACAGTGGGGTGGGGTGGGGTGGCAGGGTTTTAGAAAAGAACGACGACAACAACGTCGAAAGCGACAACGACGAAAACGAGGAAAACGACTAGGACGAGGACGAGGACGAGGACGAGGACGAGGACGAAGAAGACGACGTTAAAGAGGAAGAGGAAGAGGAGGAGAAGGTGGAGGAGGAGGAGGAGACAGTGTTGAAAGCAACGTGACACGTTAGTAGTAGTAGTGGTGGTGGTGGTGGTAGTGGTTGATGGTGGTGGTGGTACCGTTGGTGGTAACGTTACTACCAGTAGAGGGGGTCTCTCTCGAGAAGGGTGTTGGAGAAGAGGAGAAGGAGGGACCCTCGAAAGTGTCTCGTCGTCTCTCTCTCCTATCGTCCCCGTCGTTCAGGGTATCGTTTACGAATGTCGCGCGATCGAGCGTTCCGCCGGCGATCTACGAGGAAACTGCTGCTGCTGCTGCTGCTGCTACTTCTGGTGCTTTTGCTGCTGCTGCTGCTGGTGGTGCTGCTGCTGCTGTTGCTGGACGAACGTTTATTATCGTCCTCGCGTTTACTCGTGACAAAATCAACTAATACGTTGTTACCTATAAATATTTTCTTTTGTTTTTTGTTTAATATTAACGAGGGTGTTGAGAGGAATTAAGGATAGGAAGGAAGATTATAAATACGCGCGTGACATGTTAAAAGAAGAACAACTCATCATTGTGTACGGTGATCATATGGTAGTAATGATAACTACTTTGGACCTGAGATTAGTGATTGAGTAATACAGGAAGAACAACCCCTTTCTCTTTACCCCATTTCCCTTTCCTTTCTTTATTTCTTTCTTTCTTTCTTTCTTTGACGATAAACTTGATAAAAGTATTATAAAATAAGGTGTCCACGCGATATAATAATGTCCGGCGAGACGGAAATCGAAGTGTCCGTTGTTTCCGAGGAGGATTTAGAACTGGAAGGTTCGCGAAGTAGTTCGACACCTGCCGATTTGTTGATACAAGAAAAAAATGGAAAGGGTAGTTGCGGATTGGCACTTGGTAATCATCATCGTCCGTTTAGTTTCGACGTTGGTAAGCCAGCCCTAAGGCCGGTTGGTAATCCCCAATACACGTCGTTCAGTATTCAAAGTATACTTGGTAGATCTGTATCACCAAGAAGCGATTCAACGTCAAATGTTTCATCTACTGAAAGACGTTCGACCGATGTCGAGGTTGCATCCTCGCCCGTATCACCGCCCAGTTCTAGGACGAACAATCAAAGGATTCATCCGTCTTGTGCTAGCCCACCTAGAATAAATTCACCTACTACATTAAGACAAGTTGTCGGTCATCATCAACGTGCATCAGCTAGCAATCAAATTATCGAAAACAATTCGAGAAATGATGCAGCTAGTATAGGGGTTGGTTGTACAAGCCCACCAAGTCCTACCGTCGCAACATCATATTCACCAACTACCAATGATGCAACGACTAATTCCAATATGGCTCATCAAACAGTCGATTTTGCAACCGTTGTTGAACATGGACAAATGCTTCATAGGTTAGTAATATTTAATATTAATATTGGGGTTGATAATTACTAAGTGGTTGGCTAATTTATATCAAGAAAAAGCTAATGATATCAAGAAAATCTTGCAATCACATAGGTTGCCAACCCTTCTTCATAGGTTAATAATATTTTACATATTATTTATTCAAATATATATTGGGGGTTGGCAACTGCTGTTGGCAGATTTGACAAAATCTTGGTTACTCACACTAAAATTACCAACCTAATATTTCTATTAGAGGTTAATTTATTAGTTAATTCTTCATTTAGTTTAATTCCTTCTTGGTCAAAATTAAATATATCTCAAAGGTTCTATTATTCCCTAGTCTTCTAGTTCTTTTTCCTCCCAAAGTATAAAGAATCAACTTTCTTCTCTTCCTCTCGCGGAAAAAAAAAATGTAAAAATCTTTTAGTGGGCGTGATCGGTGTTCTTCGGATGAAGGGGGGGGGGGTTAACGAAATGGTTGGTTGACGTGGGGGGAGGTTGTTGGTGGGTGATGAAGCAAACAGAAAAAAGAAAGAAAATGAAAGAGAGTGAGTTGTACGCGTGCGGTGAGGATTATATTATGTGGGAATGGACCCCTATAATAGGAGGGGGTGTCTTGGTAATGGGCCTATTAGGCTGTCTCATTTAATAACAACCGTAGCAGCAACAACCACCCTCTTACATTACTTACGTTACTTAGGAGTGGCATAGGGTGCCGCGTATCGGATAATATCTGCTTGGAACGAAACTAAACTCTGAAGGATATGCCCATGCGCCACACGAGGGGCCAGCAAAAAAGAAAAAGAGAGAGAGAGAGAGAGTTAGTTGAGGGTTCGAGATGATTTTATCAGATTTACACCCCTTCAGATCTCTTCTGCTACCCCTTCAAGCAAACGACTCGAATTGCTTGTTTTCCAGCCGTTTACCATTTGATTAAGTTCCACTCACAACTTCGAAGGGCATGGATGTTGTTCCTTCTTCTTCTTCTTCTTCTTATTCTTCTTATTCTTCTTATTCTTCTATCCTTTTATTTTGATTTAGATTTATCTCTTTCTCTTTTCTTTGTTTTTTCTTTTTGTTTCGTTAAAAGATCTAAATACTCTAAAGAAGGTTAGGATATAGTTTAAAGGTAAAGGGAAGTAAGAAATCACTTAGATACCGCGTGCATAATGGATAGGCGGATGGAACCGCCCACTTAGATAGTCTCAAAGTTAAGGAGCCTAAGATTCCCTTGAGAAAGGGCCCCATCTATACTATCTCGTCCATTTCATGAACGACGCCGACGCCCTTTAACGTACTCTCCTTCTCCTTCTTCTTCTTCTTCTTCTTATTCTTCTTCCGTCAAGAGGAAGCTACGAAACTTTGAGAATTGATTTATTATTAAATTGATGCTTCATAGATGAGTCAAGATATTACCTTCAAGGTCGTTGTCTTCGTCGTCTATCAGTAACAAAAGCGATTACTTTATTGTGACGAAAAAATCATGATCGATAGATCAACAACCCTGTGATTATTGTTTTAAATATGTTTGTTCGTTTATTGTGTTGCAATTTTAATTCGAAATTGGTTAAATGGACGATTGTTGGTTTTTATTTACCATTTGTTTGTGAAATATTCAATTGAAAAATAAGATCCATGAAATTCTGGTGCATCTTATGTTTATAAGGGACAGTTAGATTCAAAAATGTTGACTCGTTTTAGGGTGAATCAGAAATGACTGTGCATGTATTTTAAATTATTATTTTTTATTTCACTTGCATATAATAAAAGAATTTTATTGTCTTCAAAAACAAAACTATACAATTTCAATATACACTATACAAAACAATTAAAATACAAACTTTTGGTACACCCTAATATAATAAAAGACAGTAAAACCCCAAAAATGTTGATTAGTTTTACATTACAAACTTATCTAATTTGAATATCAATTAGCAAAAGTTACTGTACATGTATTTTAAATTATTATTCATAATTTCACTTACATACAGTAAAATAATTTTCATTGTAAATTGACGTAAAAATATAGACTAGAAAAAAAAAAACAATTGCACTATTCAAAAGAACACAATAAAAAAACTCACCAATTTTTTGAGTAGACCCTAACATAACCTTTCAAAATCTTTATAATTCTTCTGACTATTCTCTAACATCGTGATTTGAATTTTTTTTTTTTTGTATGTAAAATTATTTAAATCTTATAGACGTATATATCGAATATACAGATAAATAGATACATAGAAAGAGATAGATAGAGATAGTTAGATAGATAGATAGAGAGAGAGAGAGAGAGAGAGAGAGAGAGATGGATAGATAGATATGGGCGTCGGGTAGCAAAAGATGCGACTGAATAATCCGCGACAGAGAGTCAGGCTCGTTAATTACAGCGTCGATGAATGATTCGTTAATTAGAGTGGGATCGCGCACGAACTTTCAAAGGAAGGCACGATAAAGCCTATTGTGTATGATCGCCCATTCGTGGGCGATACGGATGTTTCAACGTGCCGTAACAAACGGGGGATAGGAGAAAACCGGGTACATACCTATCTATCTACCTACCTACCTACCTACCTACCTACCTACCTGATGGTTCGTGAACGCGAACCGCGAATAATAATTGCGTCGAAACAGTCACCACGCGATTCCCTTCTTCAACGTTTGTGTTCCCTTTTCCCCTGGCAAATGACGCTTTGCAATATACGCCCACAACCACAACCACCACCACCACCACCACCATCACCACCACCACCACTACCATCAGTAGCAGCAGCATCACCAACAGTCTCTCATTCTATCTTTATCTCTCTCACTCACACATTCTGCTGTTTCTAGCTAAATACATACAAATACACATAGACGTCAACAGAATTTCTATCATCATTCTATGTTTTTTTTTTTTTTTTTTTTATTTTGTTAACCAAAACTGAAACTCAAAAGATTCCCGTCGTCGTTTCATATTAAATAAAAAAAAAATGTGAGTTCCTACTCGTCACGTAATTAGCATGATCAAGTGAGAGAGAAAGAGAGAGAGAGATATAGAGAGTATTCTTTAAGATTCAACAAAATTTACACTCCCCACTGTTTTTTTTTTAAAAAAAAGTAATACGAATAAAAATGAGACTAACAAATATAATAACAATGCTTACGTTACCTTTACACGTTTAATCAAAGAAAACATTACTTTTGCAACCGTATCTCAACGAGATTATGATTATAATTATTATTATAATATGCTTTGTAATTTGGATACGTTAGTTACAATAAGAAATATTTGTTACATATCTTTGTTGTATATATACAGGGTGTTTCACAAACTCTTGCCACTTAAATAACTCTGAAAGTATGATAGTAGCAAAAAAGTTGCATGAAAATTCAACTCGTATTGTAATCCTCAATTGTTCATACAATTATTGGTGAATCACCCTATATATAAATGAAAAAAAAATATGAGAAAAAGTTTGTTTAATCTTCCCCTTGTTTTCCTAGTAAAATTTGTTTTCATATTTTTATTCCAATTGTTTTATTTTTTTTTTTTTTTTGAAGTATTTACATACGTGTACCACGTGTAGGTATGAGATAAGATTAGGTTAGGGAATCACCTAGTTACTTTTATATGCATTAGGGGTTTCCCCGATTTTCTTCATCGTTTGTTCCAAGAATCTAAATGTAGAAGGTGAAAAGTTTGAATGAAATTCAAGTATAGCGAACGTAACGATGAGAATTAATCCTTTATTACACTTGGCCCTACTCTTACTACTACTACTACTACTATTAATACTACTACTAACTCAAGTGAAGCCAAAGCAAATGGATTTAGGTGTGTATGCATTGAAAGCCAATATAACTTGACGTTGGGTCATCGTAATGACACTTTACAAGTGTCTTTTCATCGCTATGTACAAATCTTTCTATTCATCGATTGGTTACTTAACGATTTATTTGACAAATTGAAAAATTATCCAAGTATACAAAAAAAAAATAAAACAAGAAAATTAAATAGGTTGTTAAGAATAATGCAATGTTATGTAAAATTATTAATTTTTTTTTTAAATATATTAATAATAAAAAATATATATAGTAACTAGGGGTGCCCTGCCACGCGTTGCTGTGGCTCACAATCAGTCCGATACACACGTCTTTAAGTCAATTGCGATTATAAATTGAGATATAAACAATCCTATCTTTCCAGTTGGATGAAATTGCACACATTGTGCAAAATTTGATTAAAATCGGTTCGGTAGTTTAGGAGTCCATTGCGGACAAACAACGTGACACGTAATTTATATATATTAAGAAAAAGATAAGATATATATTTTAAATATATATTTTATTATTATTTATTATATAGTATGTCACTTTCCAAGTGACTTACAACCAATTAAAAGTTAATTTTATAAAAAGTACAGTGTTCTACAAAAGTTGTTTCGCAATTACTTCAAAGGTTACATTCAAAGGTTACTTTTAAAGGTTACTTGTATTACAAAATGAAAGCACAATTGGGGGTAGAAAATCACTGATTTTAATCATCCTTAAATAATTACAGATACAATGATATCAAAGATCAATCATCCCTCTTTTTCCCTACCCCCTTTCCCTTTAATTAAAATCTAAATTATATCAAAAAAAAGTCTTGGATTAGTAGCACGAGTTAGAATAACTTACAAACGATGAAAAACGTGTCCGTAGATCGACTTGTTTTTACTCGTCGTTGCACTCTTCCTAAACTACCCTCCTAGCCAGGGTAGTGGTGATGGTAGTAGTAGTGGTGGTGATGGTGGTGGTGTAACGGTAGACGACAAAACGTATCATATTACTAGCGATCGTTAACCACGGCATAAAGAGTTTATATTCGAGAATGGCACTTACTTGAAGCAAACGTGCGTCAGGCAGAAAAAAAAAGAGAAAAAAAAGGTGGAATAATAATAATAATAATCGATATACGTGTATATATGTAATATAAGGAGGAGGGGGGAATCATTTTCTATTCTCTTGTTGTATATGAAGAATAGAATCATCTTACTACTCCTTTTCTAGTCGTTAAATTACGAAGGGGTAATAACATTATGTCGGTTATTTATGTATAATACAAACTTCATTCACTTATATATACATATACATATATATATATATATATGCATATACCTTTTTTGTATAGTTTTTTCTTCAATTTAGGTTATGGGATAGTTTATCTCGCGTTTATTTTTTATTTTTTATCGCTAATTTAAAGATTCAATTATTTAGAGGTTATCTGGGTGTTTAAGGTACTGTAAATTTTCGATAGATTGCGCTGTATTACAATTCAATTATTTCAAGTTTTATTCAGATTTACATATGACATAAATTAACCTTGCTTTTTATATTTTGTACGTGTATTATTATTTTATGTATTTCATTATTAATTGTTGTATTATTTTGTATGTTGTTAACTTAATATATAGAATAGTTTTTATCGCGTTTATTTTGTATTTTTTATCGCTAATTTATTTAGAGGTTATCTAGGTATTTAGGTACTGTAAGTTTTGCAATAGATGGCACTGTATTACAATTCAATTATTTCAAGTTTTTTTCAGATTTACATATGACATAACTAACCTCACTTTTTATAGTGTTTCGTGTAATATTGTTTTATTTATTCAATTCTAATTGCGATATTATTGTGTGTTGGTTTTTATCGCATTTATTTTTTATTTTTGATCGCTAATTTAAGGATTTAATTATTTAGAGGTTATCTGGGTGTTTAGGTACTGTAAATTTTCGATAGATTGCGCTGTATTAACAAATTCAATTATTTCACGTTTTTTTTTTATTAACACAAACATTCAAATCCTGACAAAAATTTAGTATAGTAAGTAATAATAGTAATAGATCAATAGCAAAAAAAAAAGGAAAAAAAAGAAACAAAAGTAGAATAACGTAAGACGAATCGAAAAAAGAGGCAAACAAGAGCCTAATGCTTATCCCTTGGAACTTTTTTTTCTTTTTTGGGGTGAGATACGTAAAGCCGCGGCAAAGAATTAAGCTGTAAAAAGGTGGAGCACGTTCCTCTCTCACTCTCACTCTCTCACTCTCATTTTTTGTTGTTGTATCTATCTATCCTACTCTTGTTCTATCTTCTAACTATCTCAAGAATAGCAGAAGAAGAAGAAGATGAAGAAGAAGAAGAAGAAGAACCACTGTGTTTGGGTGTTTATACCTGGTTCTTAGAAAAGGGTCGGTGGATGCTTACAAACAGGCGGTTGTCAGATTTCTTTTATCTTTCCCGGGGCATCTGTGTAGTATAGTAAAGGCCTTGAAGCCTCTGGCGTTACGCTCCTCTTTTCGTGTGTTTCCACCACGTTCCAATAGTTGGTGAGATGATGGTGGTGCTTGTGTTGATGGTGGAAAGTGSTGGTGGTGGTGGTAGTGGTGGTCCTGTTCCTTCTTTTGGATTCCCCCTTCCTCAATTCTCGAGTCGACGTCCTACGTTAAGGACGAAGGAAGAGAAGGATGGAAAATAAAAAGAGAAAGATTCGTTGAGATCCTTTAATCGTTTAATTACCCTTCTTCTACTGTGATATTCGATATCAAAAAGAAGAGGAAAAGAGGATTAAGAGAAAGTCAGTGAATTACTTTTTTGAATTAGACTAACTACACCTTATTTTCTGATAAGATGAGAATATTATTCACTCGTTGGATTTACTTTTATCTGTTTATTAATTATACTAACAGATATTTAATATTTAAGGATACAGGCTGGATTTTATTTTGGGTTTATAAACATTCAAGGAAATTTAATATTAATTTAATAAAAATTAAACACAATTTTAAGTAAAGAATAATCTATTTATTTATTAATGAGAAAGTTATGAGTAGGTTTGAAGAAAAATTAGATAAATAGAATTAAACAATTACTATACAAATAAACTACACTTATAATCGTTGATAGATTTAGAATGTTAACACGTTCCGTGCAAACGAACCCTTTTCTACCTGACTTGTCATTCAGACCATTTAATTTTCAACATATTAAATAAATATATCTAAATGTACCACAAGTGGTACACGTGGCCTGTAGATCAAATTTAACATGTACCACCAATGATACACGTGACATGGAACGTGTTAATGAAAAATCAAAGAAAATGACTTTATCCGAAAGCAAAAAGAAAAACAATAATAAGAATAAGAAGAAGAAGAAGAAGAAGAAGAATATGGGAAACGAGATCGGATAGTCCGTAGACAGACAGACAGACCGCTTGCGTCCCTTTAGCAGTTAGGAACACAGGGGAAAGTAGTAGGGCTTCTGAAGCCTCCAGTGTCTATACCTACCACCTTCAGAGTAGTGACCGTGCTGAAACATCTATCCATCTATCCAGTTTTCTATCTACCTATCTACCTACATTTCTGTCAATTTTAAATATCCCTAAATTATCAAACTATAGTATTTACTATATAGTACTGTTCTTCAAACTGTTAACTCATCAAATGATAGCATTCATTGATCTATCTTTCTTAATTTCTTATTTTCTTTCTTCATTTTGTCAAATCTATACAGTTTTCTATCTACATACCTACTTACCTACAATTCTGTCAATTTAAAATAACCCCTTAAATTGTCAAACTATAGTATTTAGTTATTTTACTAACCTCACTTTCTTATTTTCTTCATTTCTTACTTTTTTACTTCATTTTGTCAAATCTATGCAATTTTCTATCTACCTACCAAGCTACCTACAATTCTACTAATTTAAAATATCCCTAAATCATCAAACTATAGTATTTAGTTATTTAACTAACCTCACTTTCTTATTTTCCTAATTTCTTATTTTTTTACATCATTTTGTGAAATCTATTTAGTTTTCTATCTACATACCTACTTACCTACAATTCTGTCAATTTAAACTAATCCCCTAAATCATTAAACTATAGTATTTAGTTAGTTAACTAACCTCACTTTCTTATTTTTCTTATTTCTTACTTTCTTCATTTTGTCAAATAGTTTAAATGTTTCAGATCAAAAGAAATAAGTGTTTTATCATTCCCTAATTTATTTTCTTAAAATTCCTATTCTTCAAATTTATTAACTCATCAAACTATAGCATTCACTTATTTCACTAACCTCACTTTCTTATTTTAAACTTTCTTACTTTCCTAATTTGTTTCTTCATTTTATTGAATGATTGACAGGTTTCAAATCGGAAGAAAGAAGTGTTTTCTAATTCCCTAATTCACTTTCTTACAATTCCTATTCTTCAAATCTGTTAACTCATCAAACTATAGCATTCACTTATCTCTCTCTCTCTCTCTCTTTCTTACTTTCATACTTTGTTTCTTCATTTTATTGAATGATTGACATGTTTCAAATCGGAAGAGATAAGTGTTTTCTAATTCCCTTATTCATTTCCTTACATTTCCTATTCTTCAAATCCGCTAACGACGATCAAATTTTCTCGCTCGAGTATTACGACAACAAGGACGAAGACGAGGACGAAGACGAGGACGAGGAGGGGTACCTGTTGTTATGCGACTCAGGGATAAACGAGAATCGGATAATACTCTAAACGGGTCTCTCATCCCCTCCCCCACCTCCTCTTCCTCCACCCCATCAGGTATACTATCTCAAACAGCGTGATCTTTCTTTTTCTCGAAGAAAGAGAGGAGGAGGAAGAAGAAGAAGAAGAAGAAGAAGATGATGATGATGGTGGATAGGGGAAAAAAAAAAGATGGAAAAAGAGAGAAAACCCGAGGGCATTAAACTTTAAGCGGATTTTTTTCTTCCTCTTAACGATCCACGTCATCCGTTTTTCGAATTCCTAACAGAAAAGAAAAAAAGGAAATAACACGTCTTTCCATTTAAATCTCCGATTACACATAATAGTAGTATCCACAACTATGTGGAACCAATTCCAAAGCATCAATTTGTCAAATGTAAAATAGTCCCAAAAAAAGAACTGTTGTTTTTAATCTATTCTTATGTTGGTATATATAGATTGGGATTGATGTCAACCCTGATAACCGGCCGATATCCAGTTTTCTTCCCGCCAGCTTTGCAACATCTTCATCAACATCAACAACAACAGCAACATCAACAACAGCAACAACAACAACAAGTACAACAACAACAACAGCAACATCATTCACGTTTGGCTACGGTATCGTCGGCATTGACCAATGCTGTTCAAGTTGCTGGACAAACGGCTGACATTAATGACGTAACAGCTGAAGCAAGTATCAGAGGTGTACTTCCTGGTGGACCAACAGCATGGCCATTTCCATGGAGGCCTGCTGCTCACGGATTGCAAACACTCGAACATCCGTCAGCAGGCGATGTTGTTGGTGCACTCAGTCGTGTCAGTCCAGCTTCCGCGTCATTTCCTCAAAAGGGTGAGTCATCAGATGTCATCGTCCTCGTCACAAATCCAAATAAAGACCTAAATTCTTCCTAATTTGACAAGTAGGGAGGAGTTTAAAGAAAAGGTTAAT